GAGTGGTGAGGCCATGCCATTCAAGTTTGGCCCAGAGAACTGAGTCCAAAAGTATACTAAGGCTTGGTTCTCCAAGCCACTTTCATTCATAAAGGTCAACACAACTCAAGCTTCCTGGCATGCACAGGAGAAAGCATCGAAAATCAACAATTATGTTGGCTAGTTACCTAAACCTACACCTGTAGACTTGGCTAGTATCTGCATTCTTCTTAATGGCCTTTGTGTGTAACAGCTGCCTTGGTCACCATAGGTGATCAAGAATTTCATTCAGAAGAGGGGGAAAGTGATGAATAATCTCCTTTTTCTGGCACACTTAACTTTTTTTTATCATGAAAGAAGGAAAAATATTTTTCTACTACCAAACAATAGCACTGCTCATGAAAGGACAAATTAGCCTGTCCCCTTCGATAGAAATAATCCTGCAGAAGTTAAGAACCTAAATTTCCACACAGTCCATGGCTTAAATACTTATATGGAGAGAATGGAAAAAATGTTTATCACTAGCCTCATAAGGCTTATTTAAAAAGCTGCTTGTAATCATCTGAGACAAAAGGACCCATATCCAGCTCCTCCCAAATTGGAGGGTTAGCTGCCATTTCGAGCATTTTGAAAATAACTTTTACAACTACCCTACCACCATATGGCAACCATTTAATGTCAAACAGCAATTACAGAAGGATGGGAACAACATCCCCCACCTCAAAATATAGATATCACAAATTCATTTACTACAGGTTTCATCATTATATTTCTGGGCAAACATGCCATTTGAGTATTTGCAAAGCTGAGTGCTTTTAAAGTGAAATGTTTATTATTAACCTTCTGATCACCAAGAATCCATTCAACTGCTTCCCAAATGAGGTGAGTGGAAGACAATATGTTTGATATATGGTGATTTCCTTGAATGCCTTCATAAATAAATGAAAGGACCCTCAAAAGCCTAAGATGATCTATTTAGTGGTAAGTATCTCATGTAAGGCTACTATGCAAATCCATTCATTTTAGTAACCATCTAACTCAGCAATGGACAGACGCTCTAGTAGTTAGGGATGCTTTACATTTAGGAGAGGCGAAAAGATAATAATGGTTCTGATGAGCACTCAAACCAGACATGTGGACCGGGCCATCATTTTCTGGGATTCCCCCCCCTTTCATCAATAAATTCTTTTTAAATTTTTAATCCTTACGATATATATAGACTGTTTCCTAGCATGATTTGATTGCTTATTGTACCCTATGACTATCATTAAGTGTTGTTCCTTATGATTCTTGACTCTTGATGAATGTATCTTTTCTTTTATGTATACTGAGAGTATTTGCACCAAGACAAATTCCTTGTGTGTCCAATCACACTTGGCAAATAAAGAATTCTATTCTATTCTATTCTATTCTATTCTATTCTATTCTATTCTATTCTATTCTA